CCTAGTGAAATCTGAGAATCATACAGTAAATTCTTCATTTGCAAAATATCAAACAATTGTCTCAAACTTGACTGTTCTTTTTTTGCAAATGTCAGTCAATCGTCTAAGACTTCATTTTCCTTTCGATTCCATACCAATCATCCTTTATTCTTTTTCTCTTCCTTTCAATCTTCTTAACCTTTTACTCCCAGATATTTCATTTTCAATTGACAACACATACTACTTATATCTGTCAGACATCAGTAGCACATTCCTCAATACTAATTATTAAGTCAAATTAAGAACTGAGTTGATTCGATCTAATTCATATAAAACGAGCTCATAAATTAATAGTTATTATGTACCTTTTCTAAATGGTTTGCTAAATTTATCATCATCAAATAAACATTTAGTGAATGTCATTGTCATATTATCTATTGAGTTATAAAACTATTAACATTTACTTGATGCCGTTTACTATACATCACAAATGCATTTTAAATTATACAACTCGTGAGACGGGGTCGTGGATGCGTACTGCTGAGGAGTCCCATGGTAGGACGAAACGGCCGATTAGTGCTTCCAAGTTTCCATGGTGGTCTAGGTCCAATTGACTGATGAATTCAACTATAAAATTACACAATAGTTTCTTTCATTCCGGATTACTCATCTTTATTCAGACTACCAACCTTATAATTTTATTTAGTGTATAAAATTATTCCAGTTAACATTAGATACTAATCACTTCAACATGAATAATTCTATTTTAAAATTTTTATATTCCCAAGTCGTATTATTTGTCTTAAACTTAACTATTTTTCTGAAACCTTCACTTGAATTTATAGATGTAGAACTTGATGAGAATGTGAAGAGAAGAATATTCTTTATTCAGATATTTTGTTTAGGAGTTTCGATTTATTCATTAAACGCCAAGAAAAAAAGAATTCTCATCTAATCATTACTGTTGTTTATCTTCGAATTTAGATAATGTAAAGCATTATATAGGTCGTTCAAGTAATTATTCATTTAAGGCTTTTGTAATAAAAACAAATCATTTGATTGTGTTAAGTATTCGTTGATGTATTTCCTTTATTTCGAATATAAGTATCAATGATTGAAGTTACTGAAGTGAATTCAAGTTAAATACAACTTGAGCAGTAGTGAAAAAAATAAATATTTATTCAATAATTAATAGGTCTCGTGCGACTAATTCTAAAGTAAAACAGTTTGATGTGGAAATGAATTGCTGTTAGATGGATGACAACTTAATATTATTTATGATCTTCTAGAACTACGATTCGATAATTGCCTAATCTTAAACTTTCATTTTTATTAAGTGATATTGTGAAGTAGTCATTTGATTTAGCGAAGGTGTAGTGAAAACAGTGAACAGCTCAATACTGGCTCAATTAGTGCAAACCGGTCACAGTACCAGTATAAGCCAACCTTTCTCAATAATTCATCGCGTCAGTATTTTTTTCACCAAATTCTGTCAGACTGGAAATCCTTCTAACGGCAGAAGTAGTAGGTATTCCGATTAAAAGACTGGAGCTACGTGTATAAAATAAATATCTCCAACCGCTTCTCTTACCCTGGCCAACCTCAGGTTCGATTAGTCAACAACAGTCTTAACTACTGAATGACATAATTTGATTAACGTACTTACAATCTTTCTTAGTCATATACATTTGTCTTTGTTATCTTCATTCACATATTTTTGTATTATTATTATTATTATTATTATTATTATTAGTAGTAGTAGTAGTAGTAGTAGTAGTAGTTTTGTGATTATGTTCAAAATACATGATTAATTTACTTACTACTCACCCTTATTATTATTTCTTCCACTAAACGCTTGACCGAATCTGTAATTGTATTATCATTTCACTTACCCTATTCAACCTATAAGTATTCCGGTCATTAATCGCACAATTTCACTGAACATATGAACTTATTCAACCTAACAACGAATATTGATCATCTCAATTTCATTTTATTTCATAATCCTAAATACACATGCTATAATTTTAAAAGATTTATTTTGCCTTAAGCCTATCCACATTTTAGATTAGGAATTTGGATACATAATTATAGAACCTGAAGGGAGTTAATTGAAAAGAATATTCCTCTTTCATATATTAGTGTTTCAATATGATGAGGATTTTATAAACAGTCGGTTAGCTTCGTCAAATTAGTGGTTGTTGGACACCGGCCCAGTAAGATCGAAGGTCTGTGTCCGAATCTTGCTTACGGGATCGTGGGTACGCATTGATGAGCAGTTCCATACTGAGATGAAACGGCTATCCAGTGCTTCCGGGTTTTCACCGATGGTCTGAAATTGATTCATTCATGATATTAATAAAAACTCAACAATCTCTACAACTCTATACTGAAGATTGAGAATTTGTTAAAGGAACAATTTAATAGCTGAATTCATGAGTTAATTAAAACTAAACTACTATGAAAAACCTGGAAGCCCTGGACCGCTGTTTCGTCCTAGTATGCTTCCAGGTTTTCCATGGTGGTCTATATTTAATTGACTCATGAATTCAACCATAAAATGTCTGCAATCTTCACACAAACCCCTTCTGAAAATCAATAATTGACAAGTTAGTTATATGTCCAGCAATGAGAACCGACCATTTAATAGAGTTAAATAAATTTTTGCAATCTCCTTCGACAGAACATCAGAAAACGTTACTTCGAAGACCATTTAATGTACTCCGATGAGTTTTTGCGGTTAATATGAGCTGAAACTGAGTGAACATGACATAAACCTGCGTGTGGATTTTGTTAATTACATCATAGTGATGCAAATGTTACATATCTATTTTCTTTGTTTGAAGCCAAACTGAGCAAGAGTGTACAAGAAAAGTTACAGACAGTTATTAATGTTGAAAATCAAATAATGTACATCTTAAGTTTGATGAGTAAGTTGGACAGAACATTTATCCTACTTGCCTAGATAAAATTTTAAAAGAATTTCTCTTGAAGTTACTTTTGAGGTACCAGAAGTGATCACATGCGAATCAATGTTTGCTTTCATTAAAATTCAACATAATAATACAATAATCACGAAAATTCAATGCTTATAAGTGGAAAAATATGTTAAGTTAAATAGACAATGACACCAATATTCTTGAGATGTAGGCGAAAGTTAGAAGTTGATGAGCATGGTATTGACGGAGTTGGGTTTACTGAGCTGAGTAATTCAATCATAATGCTCCATTGTCTTACTAGACCTTGATATTGGTTTTTCTTGTAACAGCAAAACAGTTAACAACAACCAATAAAAATCAAGGTCCACAGGACAGACTGTGAGTAATATGTGAAGAAATTCGAATAGCTCACTTCTATTTGAATTTTGTAGTGACAATACTGTTTAAAGAGTGTATGCAAGCTTCATTATTAAATCACCTAGTTCAAAGAATATAACTTTCTTCTCAAAATGATTGATTTTTCCATGCCTACACAACTATCACTCTGAGTAAAAAGCTAAAGAAAAAGTAATTATTTAATGTGAGAGAATGGAAATTCAAGACTTGTACAAATATACATTTAATAAAATTATTGGTCGTATTTTGACTTGACTTTTTGTTGGTAACAAATTATTCTCCATAAACAAAAGTTTGAAATAAAACGTTACGATGATGTGAACAATCTAACACTAAAAATACTATATAATCAAAGGTAATTTTTCAGGGACTACGTTTATAGTTATTGTCAGGACTATATTTGCCTAATAATGAGTTAGAATATTATCTGGTGAGACCATAATTTATGAATGAAACAATCAAATCTGAGATAGTAGATCTTGAATTTTAGCGTGTAATCCATTCATTCATGTTACTGAATAGCATTTTGGCATTATAATTAACTTCTGTTCATGATGTAATTCCAACCCAAACATCCAACTTTAAATCCTAATACTAATTCTTCACACTAATTTCTAACTCTCATATAGCCCTAAAAAGTAGATGGATATTCTAAGGGTCAATCAAGTATAACTTAAAAGTCATCCATAAATTATAGTCCCACTCAGAATCTTCATTAATTCGGGTCTAAGGAATAACTTGTTGGATGCCGGCTCAGTGGTCTATCGGTTAAGTGTTCGCGTGCGAGACCGGTGGGTCCTGGATTCGAATCTCGCAAGTGTGGGATCGTGGATGTGCACTGCTGGGGAGTCCCATAATAGGACGAAACGGCCGTTCAGGGCTTCCAGGTTATCGATGGTGGTCTATCTTCAAATGAATCATGATTACAACTATGAAAATTTATAAACCTTGGTTATCATTAAAAGAGTGCTTATGTCATTTAGAATAACAGAGTATTTGCATGATGACGTTGGTAAGACAAGTAGCTTAATCTTCATAGAATTCTAATGATTATTTTTTATCAATATAATTAGCCTAAGGGCAAAACTGTTAACATAATCAATTGAGTTCAGTTTCTTATAGCTAAACAGAATTTTCTGTCATTCACCTTTCAGTGATTATTCAGTTTATGTATTCAACTTATAATACAAAAATTACTGAATCGTGTAATTAAGTTAAGATTATTATGGATGCTCACTGCTGAGGAGTCCCACAACAGGGTGAAACGACCATCCAGTGCTTTCAGGTTCTCCATAGTGGTCCAGCTTCAATCGACTCATGATTTCAACTGTTAAAATACTAAATCTCCACAAAAACCCTTCTGATAATTCATAATAGATCAGAGGGGGGTTTGTGGAGAATTTAGTATTTTAACAGTTGAAATCATGAGTCGATTGAAGCTAGACCATCATTGAAAACCTGAAAGCACTGGACGGCCATTTCGTTCTATTATGGGAATCCTCAGCAGTGCGCATCCATAATAATAGGACGAAACGGCCGTCCAGTGCTTCCAGGTTTTCGATGGTGGTCTAGCTTCAATCGACTCATGATTTCAACTGTGAAAATAATTCATAATAATCATGTATAAATAAAAAAACAACTGATGATTTTATTTCATTTTCGAAATTCTTGTTTTCTTTTTTCTAGGCCAGGTTTAAGATGGGGTATACCACTTGGAGTAATTGTCACAGTTATAGTATTTTTGACAGTGAGTTATACAATTCAAGTATTTCGAGCTTGTGATAGATGTTACCATGAATGTCCAATATTTACACCGACTCCAAGTAAGTTCATTAGTCATTATTATTATTATTACTATTATTATTATTATTAATATTGGGATAGTGTTCAGATTTTGCGAAAAGAAAGACCAATAAACTGTTGCTTTGAGACTTTTTATCTGCTTTCTTCTACGAAGCTTTATTGATAACATTATTGTCATCATCATCGTCATCGAAGTTATTCATTTATCTGATTCAATCTCTAAATATGCTCATTTATTGTCTTTAACATAATGAAACAACTATCATTTCCGTTATTCATGCATGCGTAATCTACTTCATGTGATTAAAATGTTGAAATAATGTTTTACTTTGCGAATGTTTTGAAACTATCAATCAAAATTTATTTTGTTTTATTCAATATGAAATGTTAAATAATCTTGTGTTAATCTTTTTAAGCATATAAGAAATGAATTAATATTGTAGATATAATAATCCCCTTAAGAAGTTATAAAGATACATATATTTTTTACAAGTCTGTAGGACTAAAAAAATCCTTGTAAAAATCAAATGATAAAATGATTTTCAGTATAGGCTTGTGAGGATTATTAAGTTTTTGATTGAGATCATGAATTGATTAATATTAAACCACCATTGAAAACTTGGAAGCATTGGGACTCTTCAGCAATGCGCATCTACGATCCCGCTTATGGGATTTGAACCAAGGTACTTTGGTCTCGCTCGCGATCACTTAACCTCCTGACCACTGAGTCGGTATCCAACGGTGTTAATGTCTAACCCCAACCAATCCACCAAATTGCTCTCACATCTTCCATGGTACTGAGGTAGAAACCTGTCTGTACCAGACATGGATTAGCTTTACTGGTCACGGCTTCTCGCGCAAGCGGGATCGTGGATGTGCACTGCTGAGGAGTCCCACAATAAGACGAAACGGCAGTCCAGAGGATTTCATGCTTTCATTGGTGGTCTGATATCAATTGATTCATGATCTCAAAGAAAAAATAATTGCTATTCAGTTACTGCTTTATTTTATCAGTTAAATAAATAAATTAAAATTTCCCTTCGAAATAAAAAACAACCTAAACGTAAAAGAAAATTCTTCATAAACAAAAAACACTCAAAAGGTGTATAATTTATCATACACTGATCAACGTTTAATTATTTTCTCTGACGGTTTGTATTGTAGATTGTTGTTGTTCTCAGTGTCTCACACGCATTCACACATTCACAGATCTCTACAGTTTGTTAGAAAAAACAACAACAAATAACCACATCAAAACACTAGAAAACAATAAACAAACCACTTATTTAATGTTATATTAATAGGTGAAGTCGAATAAACGTTTTTTTATCAATCTGATATTTTCTGCTTCGTTACCTTCTTATTTAATTAAACTATCTAGTTCAATTAACGCAATATAATCGAGTTAACAATAGTCTTTTTTTTTAAAAAAAAAAGTCCAAACTGAATATTAATCGTGTTTGAAATTGTAAATTTCTTGAAGTCCTGTTGAGAAGACTTGAACCGTAAAGTCAACTAAATTAAAAGTTACGTTTTTATTCATAGCTGTAACTGATTGAAGGTTTTACCATATTTTGAATAGACAGGAGATGAAAAATATGAAATTCTGTATGTCAAGTCAGTGAGTGTAATCATATTTACTGAGAAACTTGAAGATAATGAGTGCATAATGCCAACTAGTCCCAAACTTGAACAAAGAAATTGTACAGTGTTTTTCGATTACAATTATTTTTCAGAATGATATTCTTTTTTTGATGGAAATTGGCTTAAAATGTATATGAATGACAATGAAATATTATTATGTCTCATACAATTTAATTGCATATTTTCCTAATACTAGTAAGTAATGAAAAAACTAATCATCTGTAGAGGTAAAAGTTTGCGATGCAGTTATTTATCGACTGGAATAACCACAGTTCTGTTATTTATCCAGTAGAGAGACGATACATTAGCATCAGAATCAAATCTACGATTGTCATAATGACCTATTCATACATTCAAGAAATGAACAAGCAGTGAATGAATGATAGTATAACTGATGAAGAAAACTGTTGACATAAATGTTTAATGGTTTAGACATTCAAGAAAATTAATCCTACCTACTAACTTACTTATTCCTGTTACCCCTCGTCGAGAAGCATAGGCCGCTCACCAGCATTCTCCATCCAACTCTGTCCTAAGCAATCCTTTCCACTTATTTCCAGTTAACATTCATCCTTTTCATATCTGCTTCTATTTCCCGGAGTAATATATTCTTTGGCCTTCCGCTATTCCGCCTCCCTTCACCATTTCAAGTCAGCGATTGCCTTTTAATGCACATTGGAGATTTCCTTAATGTATCTCCGATCCACTTCCAACGTCTTTCCCTAATTTCCTCTTCAGCTGGAAGATGGTTTATCATCTCCCATAAAACGCTGTTACTGATAGTATCCGGTCAGTGAATGTTGAGTATTTTGCGTAGATAACTGTTTATAAATACTTGTACCTTCTTGACGATGGTTGTAGTAGTTGTCCACGTTTCAGCCCCGTACAGTAGAACTGTCTTGACGTTCGTATTGAAGTTTGTTACTTTGAAATAAGTTGAGGGTTGCTTTCAGTTCCATATGTTCTTCAATTCTAGAAATGCGGTCCTTGATTTGCCAATCTTCTCCTTTACATCTGCATCAGACCCTCCTTGTTCATCAGTGATGCTTCCCAGGTACGCGAATGTTTCCACCTCTTCCAGAGTTTCTCCATCAAGTGTGATTGGCTTAGCGTTCTCCTTGTTGTATTTGAGGATGTTACTTTTTTCCTTTATGTATGTTGAGGCATATTGATGCAGAGGCTACTGCTACATTAGTTGTCTTCGTCTGTATAGGATAGAAGTGTTAGGTCATCTGCGAAGTCTAAATCATCTATTTGGTTCTGAGATGTTCATTGTATTCCGTGCTTCCCCTCAGATGTCGAAGTCTTCATAATCCAGTCAACCACCAGAAGAAAGAGGAAGAAGAAGAGTAGACAGCCTTGTTTGACTCCGGTCCTTACTGGAAATGCATATGTCAGCTGTCCTCCATGCACGACTTTGCAGTGTAGTCCGTCGTATGAGTTCCGGATCACGTTGACGATCTTCTCAGGAACTCCATAGCGTCGAAGAACTTTCCATAATGTTCTCCTGTCCACACTGTAAAACGCCTTCTCATAGTCGATGAAGTTGATGTATAGTGACGAGTTCCACTCGACTGATTGTTCAACGATGATCCGTAGTGTCGCCATTCAGTTCGTGCACGAACGATCCTTACAGAATCCAGCCTGTGAAACTCGAAGTTGGGCGTCTGCTGAGTCTTTCATCCGGTTCAGCAACACTCTGTTGAAAACTTTTTCTGGTACTGACAACAGTGTTATGCTTATGTAATTCTCACATTTTCTCAGATCTCCTTTCTTCGGTATCTTGATAAGGTATCTTTCTTTTCAGTCCGGTGGCACTTGCTCCTCCTCCCAAATCTTCTTGAATAGAAGGTGAAGCATGTTAGCCGTTACTTCAATGTCTGACTTCAGTGCTTCAGTTGGTATATTGTCAGGTCCTGATGCTTTCCCACTCTTGATTTGTCTGATGGCCATCTTGATTTCTTCGATCGTTGGTGGAGTGACATCTGTAGGAAGGTCAATGTGTGCTGCATCGATGTCTGGTGGATTCGGTCGAGCTGGTCTATTCAGCAGTTCTTCGAAATACGCTATCGATCTTTTCCTCTGTACTTGAATCTCAGTGATCGTCTTTCCTTCTTTTTCCTTGACCAGTCTCTCTGGTTTACTATATCTCCCTGCTAGTTTCTTCGTTGTATCATATAGTTGTTTCATATTTATTTCTCTTGCAGATTTTCCCGCTGTCTTTTTTATTTCTCCCATGTATTTCTGCTTGTCAGCTTTAATGCTCTTCTTCACTTGCTTGTTTGCTACTACGTAGTCTGCTTGTGCCTTGACTTCCTCTACTCGCGTTCGATTGTTGTTAATTGCCGTCTTATTGATCTTTCTTTCTGGAATCTTGTCCAGGGTTCCCATAAAGATCCATTCCTTATGATGATGCTTCCTGCGACCCAAAACCTCCTGACAAGTTGAACTTAATAATTCTTTGATCCTTTTCCCGTTGTCCTCCATCGTATTTCTTGTTGTTTCAGTAGATCCTGTAGAGCTTGGAACCTGTTGTTGAGAGTTATCTTGAATTCGTTCAGTTTGTTAGTCTCTCGAATGGAAGCTGTATTGAACTTTTTAATGTTGTTACCCCAATTGTATAATATTTTCTTAGCTTCATTTTCTTATTGGCCACAACCAGGTGGCGATCTAAAGTTATGTCATTTCCTCTCCTTGTTCTCACATCTTCCATTGTCCTTTGGAATTTTTTGTTGATACAAATATGATCTATCTGGTTCTCTGTGGTGTGGTCCGGTGAGATCCATGTAGCTTTGTTTATGCGTTTGTGTGGAAATATTGTGCCGCTTATAACCGATTTGTTGAAAGCACATAGGTTAGTAAATCTCTCCCCATTTTCATCTCTCTTTCTAGTTCATGTCGTCACATTATATCTTCCTATCCTGTGTTGTCCACTCCGACTTTGGCGTTTAGATCTCCCATCAGGATTGTCAGATCCTTTCCTTGGCACTTGGCTATGATTGATGGCAGCCTCACATAGAACTGATCTTTATTGTCGTCTTTGCTATCATTGGTGTGTGCATAGCATTGAATAACATTCATTGTGATCCCCTCCTTCTTCGTTTTGATGGATCCTTTTATGATCCTAGAACCGTGAGACTGTCATCCTATGAGTGCATTTCGTGCTTCTTTGGACAGCATCAGACCAACTCCCTAAGCGTGTGGAGCATTTTCTTCGTGACCAGAGTACGGCAGCATCTCTCCTGAATCTATCCTTTTCTAAGCAACCTGGGTACAATGAGTTTCACTGACTCAGAGAACCGTCAAGTTGTGTCTCCTAATTCATGTAGCTATTCGATTGATACCCCGATCTCCAATATTGTTCGGACGTTCCATGTCCCTATAAAAATTGTTGCTCTGGTTGTTAAAAAAGTCATTAGCTTCATGAGTTACGGAGAATCTCGTCTTTCATCCTGAGGCGTTATAATTATTCCTCCACCTCCTAGGGCAGAGTTTAAATGGTTTAGTTTGTTTAATCTGGTTGGCGTTTTTCAGCAAGATTTTCTTCTACGGGATGGGGTTGACGACCCCATGCCCAACATTGCACCTTTACCATAGCATGGGACCAGCAGTAACTCTAGAAGTGCTATGGGCGGAGTTAAGAAAATTAATTCTGTTGACTTATTTTATTCTCTGTATCATCTGATTCACTCGAACAGTATCTAACCTGGCTTTATCTTTTCGGTAAGATAATATTTATGTGAATTCTGATATATTGACTAAATTTATTGTTATTCATCCAATGAGTTTAGTCATAAGAAACATAAGACTAAGGATGCGTTTCGACCTACATAAACAAACTTCACATTAATGCAAAAAAGGAGGAAAGTAGGTCAGAAGAAACAACAATATTTATTCCAGTTCATAGATTTAAGAGAGTGAAAAAGAAATTAATAAGATGGTATAATGAGAAACATGGAGTGAAACAGAGTCAGGTTCCAAAAAATATTGTTGATAAATCCAATCAAATAAGTACAACAGATTTCGGTCTATCTCACCCAGTCTTTAGCCACAGTTTGCAAACTTACACCTACAAATACGTCTTAGTTTCCCAGTTAGTCATTTCATGAACTCTTGTCGCAATTCATTATGCTCCTCCAGTAGCTTTTTTATTACTACTCTTGTCTTAGTCAGAGTTATACGTTGTGGTAAGCAGCGAGTGACAAGTCATTTGTAACATACTGACAAAGGTCAATCGCTTTTAACCATAACTTAACTCCTAACCTCAAACTTGTTTACTTAGTGGTCCTAACATGCTCAACAAATGCTTCAAAGACATCAAGTGTCCAAATTTTACAAACTACTCGTGTTCTCCTCCACTGGCGTTTAATACAGCGAGAACTACTGTGTGATCAACTTATCTTAAGACAGGTAGTATCTGCGAACTATCACTGCAAAAATAATCACAAAACTATTTTTGCAAAATTCAGTTTATTTTCATGTACCTATATATATATATATATATATATATATATATATATAGGTTTTTAGATATCTTTGTAACTGTTCACTTAATCAAATGAAGTAACTTTGTGTTTATTATCTATTCTTAATCATTTGATATAGATGATGCTGAATTCCAATGGGATACTCGTAAGTCTGCCTTCACTAATTTTTCACCTGATTTCGTTGTTTTTATAAGACTCATAGTGATGAATATTAATTGTTGTCATTTTCTGCTGAAAAATTAAATTCTTTCTAAAATAACCAATATGTTAATGAAAGTCCAAAGGAATTACTGATTAATAAATAAAAACTTGTCCTGGAGCTATCAACAACAAGTTTCATGCTTGACTCGTGTTTCTGCAATGACATTACTACAGTAAATAGAAAACATTTTTCTTACTATAAGTATATATAATGAATAATAACCAGTGTCATGTCTGCAATGTTAAGCTAACTGATGCTTCCTGTGAAATTTGAACCATAGTCACCCAGTGTCATTTTATCCACGTACTATTCGGACTGAATTAATTAAAAGTTAAGATTTTATCCAATCTCATTTACAAAAGTGGAAAACATGGAATCCCTAGGGTTTTAATAGTATAACAAGCACAAACGCGAAGAACCTCATTGTTTATAAGTAGCAATGATGAATTGAAGTTGTTTATCTAATAAAACGTCTCAACATTACAAAATCCTCACGATTATTTCTTAACATTTTGACCTTTTAAATCGACACAAATTACTTTTATTATTAAAGTCGAAATCACAAATATGAAATGAATGATAATTGATCATTCATATCTATGATGTCATCAAAATTCAATGTTATAGCTTTTTAATCAATGTCTTCAAGAATCAGTGCTAAAAGTTGATAGTCAACCATAACTTATCTCTATTATTCGTTTCTAAAACCGCTACAAGTCTTAGTTCCTGACTGTATATTATAGAGTAGAAGCAGTAAAAATAATGCCTCATATATATAGCGGAAGGTTTCGCGCTCTATTTTTAATTCCGTATACAATTCCGCTAAATAACTGTTACTATGACAATCACTAACGTTAAAGAATATTTTAGAAGTCGGAACAAAATTTGTTTCAATTGTTCACTTCAAACAATACAAGCAGCGAATAGCAAAGCAGTTGAATGAATAAACATAGATTAATGTTTATGAATACGTGAATAAGTTGCCGAAACTTTAACATGCACATCAAGCTTATAGGTAATTTATGTTTAAGAACACAAGAGGGATAAATGAGTGGGCTGGTAAATAAATACTCATAAATATAGGAGATTTCTAAAACGTCATGGTGGTCTATTAAAACATTACAGCTGCTCAATTGTCAATTGAACTTTGTTAAATAATCGAGACATCTATTTCTATATGGAACCTAGTTCCTATACCGTTAGATAAATCTCTGAGTGTAGTCTCACGAAGACAGAAATATCATTTATTTGCAAAACTAACATGTCAGTTAAAATTAGACCGTGATTAGTTGATGAGCGAAAAAAATTATCTAGCTACTGTCAATACAAAACACTATATTTAGTAGCAATATCGGAGCCCATGATCCTTATATGCCGAAAAGGACCGATCAATTGCAACCCTTAACATCAATAACAAAGGGAAAATTCAAACAGTCTTTACAAATGAGTTAAAATGCATCTTGTTTCACAAGTTAATGAATAACTGAAATTTTTAGTTAACTGGATAACGCGTTAAGCGTATGGTGCTGGGTTTAAACCTCGGAGTGAACATTAAAAATGAGGTGTAAGTAGGACGAAACGCAAGTCCTGAATACTACTGATAAGTACTTTCAAAATTTTCAAGCTGTTCCGTTTAACTTGATGTAAACATTTTGTTTCAGGTTTCATCAAATATCAAAGTTCATCACGGACTGATCCTGGTTAAATAACCATTACAAAAGCAAAATGCATTGGAACATACTTCGTTCTAGTACGGGACAAGCCTAGGAAATTCAGATCTAGCTGAAAGCACTTACCCTCTAGCCTACTGAAACTCTATTCACCTGTTTGTATACGTTATTTCGATTAACTAGCGATACTGAACAATCATTAGTGGGTAACTGCCTCACATTCAATATGACCGAACTTGCTTCCTAGTGTTCAGTGGTTGTCCAACTATGATCATTCAGTAATGCTAATCATAAAATACAAAAACCCTGATAAACCCCCTATTTTATTCATGTAGAATAGATGGATTATGGCTAGTACTAGAATTAAAAGACGCATGTATCATCCTATTTAAGGATAACGCACTTTTGAAGTATGTTCACAATGAGATGAAATGTGAGTTCTGAATTTTACTACCAACCACAATCCATCTATTTTTTTCAACTTCTACATTTTTTATTCGATTCATTTAGCGAATCATTATCCATAGAAAATTAAATCTACGGGATAATGATAACCACAAAATATCATATGACTGTAATTCTTATTATTACTCTATATAACACATATAACTCATACAAAGATCCATTGTTTTCGCAATGAATGATGAATATATCTAATAAACTAGATATACTTCAATTTGAAACATTATCGAAACATTCCGATATAAATTGAATAAATCTTATAAAGCAATAAACAGAGGAAAAAACGAAAAAGTTAGAACAATAGTAACTATTTATAGAGATCATAAACAATTCTCATCTACTCTATCCTAGTTTCTATTGTTACCAAGTTTATAGATTGTCAAATTCTCTGTAAACAATAACTATACTAAAAAAAGAGTGTTAGCTAATTCCTTTCCTTCCTAATTCTAGGTTGGTATACTGTATCACATGAAGGTAATCGATATGGTGTAACATTTCATAGTCGAATATTTGCTAATGAATTTATGAAATGTTTAGAAGCTGAATATGGTCGATGGAATACAGCTAATATATTAAAAATACAAAGAGATGGACAAAATTTTGTTATTTTAAATATATTTTTTCATGATCTTTTCACACCATGGTTTTATACACAAGGACCTATTAAAAATGATGAAGAATGGATTCGAACTGATTTTAAAAATATTTGTCATACAGTACAAAGTAAGTGTAAGTAAACATTGAAATAAAAAAGGTGCATAGTCACTTGTTGTTGTTTTACTTGTATCTTCTCATTTTTATATTCAACTGTAATGGATCAGTTTCCTTTTGGCATATGTGCATATGTAGAACGTAAAGTATACTGATTAGTCAGTGATTACTAACTAATGTTATGTACTATCAGAAGGAATCACAATTGATTGATCACTGGGTGGTGATCAATCTCATACGTGTCAGGTCCTTAGTGCTGATCGAATGCTATCGATCAACTTGCAATGTGGCCACCAGTCTAGGTGGCTCGACACTGCGGGCACTATATATATTAGGGTAACATGGTGGTTGGAGGTGGTCAACAGGAAACCCTGGACACGGGTTTCGTGCTACTTGGCACTCGTCAGCAAGGTGTACCTGTAATCTTGAGGGAACTGATGCTCCCTGGCGGATTCGATCCCGCGTCACTCAGCTTCACAGTCAGAGACGTTACCACTGAGCTATTCGGGCCGCGACCGACCTCCTGTAGGACTGAGATCTAATCACAATTGATTGATCACTGGGTGGTGATCAATCTCATGCGTGTCAGGACCACCTCCAACCACCATGTTACCCTAATATATATAGTGCCCGCAGTGTCGAGCCACCTAGACTGGTGGCCACATTGCAAGTTGATCGATAGCATTCGATCAGCACTAAGGACCTGACACGCATGAGATTGATCACCACCCAGTGATCAATCAATTGTGATTAGATCTCAGTCCTACAGGAGGTCGGTCGCGGCCCGAATAGCTCAGTGGTAACGTCTCTGACTGTGAAGCTGAGTGACGCGGGATCGAATCCGCCAGGGAGCATCAGTTCCCTCAAGATTACAGGTACACCTTGCTGACGAGTGCCAAGTAGCACGAAACCCGTGTCCAGGGTTTCCTGTTGACCACCTCCAACCACCATGTTACTATGAGAAGGAGTTTTTGTAGAGATTTAGTATTTTCATAGTTGAAAGTGTGAGTCAATTGAAGCCAGACCATCAGGGAAAACCTGGAAGCACTGGATGGTCGTTTCGTGCTATTGTGGGACTCCTCAGCAGTGCTCATCCAAGACCTCGCCCCACGAGATTCAAACTTAGGACCTACCAATCTCACACCGGAGCACTTAACCGATAGACCACTAAGCCAGCATCCTGAGTTCAAATCTCGCGAGACGAGGTCGTGGATGCGCACTACTGATGAGTCCCACAATAGGACGAAACGGTCGTCCAGTACTTCCAGGTTTTCCCTTGTGGTCTAGCTCCAATCGACTAACGCTTTCAACTATGATAATGTTATTTATGTTTGATTCTTAGGGATGATTCAATTCCATAGATCGAATTAATAATAAATAACTATATAAATTATATTTTGGATATAATTATAGAATCTTTTACCGATTCACACAAATGAACATGTTGATGTGGAAATGTCACACGCAAAACTTAGAGACATACTATTAAGTTGTTTGAAAAGATAAGATTTCGTTAACCATTTTTGAGAGGATATTCATCTTTTAGTGATCATAATGTATGGAAGCAGCTGGGATCCAGTCATTCTTAGTAGAAAGACTGAGACATCCTGTTGAATTATGAATATACAGTATATCGAATGTATCGAGGGGTGATTTGAGTGACATTACAGGGTAATTAAATAATTATCTATAACAAAAAAAGAAAAAAAAGAATGCGGAAACTAAACCAAAGCACAGAACAATCACAGTAAAAGCTACTGTGATGGGTCTGCCGTTATATGTTTGCTAGACAGTTTCATAACCTATTAATCTCGATAGATATTATTTTAGTTAAATTAAGAGGGGATAGTGTATGTGTAAGATATCTGCAAAGTGATCACTTGTCTAAATAGCTCAAAATTCTAATTCACTTTATCTGAAGCCAGTTGGCATTTTTCACAGTAGTTTAGAATCAATTTCGATTAACTAACAATAAAAGAAGAAGTAATGATCTGAAAGTTTCCGAAGTTAACAGTTTGCTCAAACTAATTGAAATAAAATATTTCTTCGCTCTATTCGTCTTTTTGCTAATTTCTAAGTGAGGGCTTTCCCTGTCGAAATGGTAGTAAGTAGGGGTTCGCGGAACTCCTCTGAGGCATTGGGATTCAACTACCTAGGGACTGTGTTAAGTACCGTTGATTGCAGAGGATGATATTCGTGCAATGTCGTCAAGTGACTATAGTGAGACCTACAAACCTTTGAATTCCAACTAAAGAGTCTGAAAATCAAATGCTTGCCACGAGACCGGAAGCCCATGAGTTCCATCATTGAAAAAGTCTTGGATACCTACAGTCGGAAATTCACATCCTATTACGAAAAGTCTGTCCAGTAATTCTTAGTTTTCAATTATTATCTATCTAATGCCAGTTTGTGATACAAAACTATCAAAATAATTCAATTAAACCGGATCGTATGTTAGAGAAATTACAAGTGTCAATAGTATTTTAGTAAACAACTTATTAATATTCATTAAACAAACAAGAGTAAATTTTAAGCTATACTGTGATTCCATTTAGTCACTTTATTATTGAATTTTATGCACAGAAACTTAACATACGACTAATTTTATTTTTACTTCATCAGTTAACTGGTGTCGAAAACAAATTTAGAAAGAAAATAACTTTTTGAATAGTTTACTTACATTGTGTTACAATCAACCTTCTTTTTCACCTTTTTTCTCGGCAGCTCGATTGGCTGTGAACCCTCGATTCAAATGGAAATTGAATAAATTTTCAAATAATTCATCAAATAAAACACTAAGACAAACAAATCAATCATCAAATAACACAAATATATCGAATTTAGATAAGAAAAACATTGATCGTTTATCGAATTCCAATACTGTTACAACACCATGGACACCATGGACTAAAGTAGCCTATATTCCATCATTAACCGAGACATCGGTTAAGAAAAATTTGACACGTAACTCCAATAAAAGTAAATATAAAATGAAAAATGAGTATAAACCTAACCAACTGGTCAATGTAATCATATTAGAAGATATTATTGAATGTAATGGTTTAGATAAAGGTGTACAAACTCATCAGAAACGATTACAAACATACAAAACAACAATTGATCCGGTTGTATAGATGACAGGTAATGTCAAACGATTCAGAGAAGATTACTGTATGATACTGGTTGGATCAATTACTCATACTTTATACAGAGCAATTTGTTACTGGTCTATACTACAAGAATTTACACTTGCTGAGTGTCTTGGATCGATCGAGTATCCTGGATAATGTAAACCTATTGAAAACTATTCAGAAACGCTGTAATGAAAATCTTTTTTTTACAAAACTGTCAATAGCACCTAATATGTTTAGTGATTTTGTTGTGATTTTAAAACCTCATGCATTTTTACACTGAATGTAATTTATTAAAGTCGCTTGTGTTTTTATAAAATTTACAAATTAGTCTATTGTCTACTTTGTGTAATTTTACTGGTTTGTATTTGAAACAAGTGAAAAGGTGACACTTGTCTGCAAACTTCTGTGGACTACTAATTTCAGGTATCATACTAGGATACGTGACACTGTTATACCTCTTCTAAACTCTTCTTGGACCAAATCTAATAACATGTTTTGTCGCTTCTGATCGTGAAGACCATTTCTCCTACTGTCATTGTCACTATGCTAGTGTGCCTCTCAATATATTCAAAATATTTGTGATATGTACTCTGTAGTTATTTGTAAGCCCCCACTGGTTACCAGCAGATACCTGTGAAATAAAAGCATCCTGAGTCGTCCGTGTATTTTATTGGTCAATCGAGCAATTTCATTCAGTCATTTTAACAATTTTAAACTCGTTATATATCCATCAAAAAAGTATAACTCATAATAGTGATGATAAAACCGATTATTGAAATATTAACGACATTGCGTGAAAGGAAATTAAACTAATTCAACCACAAATAGAACGTGATAAAGTACTTCTAAACACCACTCACGAATTATTAGCTCAGAAATAAATGCAAGAGCCCAGTTGTTGAAAGCAGTCATAAGATTGAGTTCAGTAATTGTCTTTAAATCACTTAAAAATCAAGCCTATTTGTAGCATAATAGTTAAACTTTCTTGAAGATTATTCAGCATTGTATTTAGAATCTTCGTTTGTGGCTTCACGATAATCAGGAAAGTTTACAATATATGCTCCTGATTAACCCTCCAAAATCTACACATCAAACAAACTAACGGAGAGCTCTAAGGTCTTCAAATGTAGAACAAAAGTGCTTTATGTGTCCAAATCGTTACAGATCAAATCATATGTTAAATACTAACTCTAAAACCATAGAAGTAAGTGACCTCTTAACACTCAGAGGATGACAGATGTGCATCTAAAGTTATATGACGGTAGTACACTTTCAGCCTGGAGACGGAGCAAAAATATGGTTTTCAAGAAAACTGAAGGATATACGAAAAAAGTCAAGTTTTGTCGTTTTATAAATTTTGTAAAACTGGATTCCATATCATCTTGTGGTCTAATGATATATTATGAGAAATTATTAGGCATCATCATCCTTAAAAAGTCTTCTAATTATGTTTATTCTTGCATTCGGTATTTTGTATGCAACAAGGTTATTTGACTAGAATCTATTCTACTGGTTAGTGTTCTTACATTTCGCATCAGCTTGTTTGGGTATTGATGAAAATAATCCTATTTCATGGGGAGCAGTCACTCGGCTACATCGACAGTTTCATTTCATCTTTCCATCATCATCTTATTCATTGATTCCAACAATTTTTGAAACCAGACCTCAATCATTAAGTCGCACTCCATAAGAAGTTTATCTACAGAATTATTTAAATCAAGAATTTTAATGTCTTATTTACATGTTTGTTGTCCTCAGGGTAATATTCTGTTTTTTCTATAATCCTAAATATCTAAACACTATCACTATTATTCTTCTGAAATTCTATCCTTATTCAACATTTAGTTGCCCTCCTACTCTTTATCAAATAGTCAAATAATGCATCTCCAAATAGAGAAACATCCATTATAGTTATGAAGCAGCCAACTATGCCTAAAATAAATACATTTATATGTTTGTATGATATCCAGATTTGGAATTATAACAATAAGTCTCACTGATTCATTTATCAACCTATCACCCATACTAGCCAAATGTTCTTCTCGTTACCTAGTAACTAATTTTGCACGTACACAGGCGAGGAAACACTCAACAGTCTCGAATATTCGGCTGTGATCTTTAGTAACATCAGTAAATATCGGTTCGTGGGTTCGTGTGTGTACCTGCATCCCAAAGTTGATAATCCCTTTGGGACTCGAACTCTTTCCTTATAATGCTTGTGAATTAAGGCAATATCGAGGCAATCCATACAGGATACACATATGCCAATAAGAGACTGATCAATTGCAGTGCTAAACATCAATGAAAAAATTTAAACAAACTATACCAAATGAATTTAAAAACAAACTAACCACGTATTCAAACGATTAACAAAGTAAGGTTATCAAACAATATGTAAATTAAATTGCAATCTACAAATAGATAGAAACATTTATTATACAAAGAATTGTGTTAAGAACAATGGGAAATCAATGCAATAAAAGACAGTTTAAAAAAAGGCAATATTTTAACAAAAATATGTTTCCAAAGATAACTTTCTCTTCAGAGCTCCATAGTTACAAATTCATAAATATTGTATTACATTAGATAAAATGCTAATGGATATACATATAAACGTTTAAGTTAAATAGCTCAGTGTTCTTAATAGAAACTAGTGGATTTTACTTCCATAGTGTCTTAAATAATATGAAAATGAGTTAGTGAGTTGATTGAAATGATTCTACAAAAAAAGGAATAGAAAAAATCATATCCCTTAAGGCGGTGAACTTTAGTCAATAGTTTAGAATCGTTTATATATAAATAAATATAAAATATGAATTAAACTTATTCAGTGCTGTTTGTTTGAATCTTCCCATCGATGTGTTAGGACTGCAATTGGTCAGTCTATAAATGACATATGTGCATACTGTGCATATTGTTCAAACAAACAATACTAAATGAGTTTAAACATCACCCCGTCGCACAAGCAAGTGGTTATCAGGACTCAGTAGCCGAGTGGATAACGCAATGGCGTTTGAAGCGAAAGGTACTGGGTTTGAGTCACAGAGTGAACATCAACTGTGAGATCCAGGTACATCCAGCTGATGAGTCCCAAATAGGACGAAACGCGCATCCTTGATTCCACTGCTATCCACTATCCATCTTTGCTTACAATAAAATATGAATTATTTACTTGTGGCTCGTGTGGTAATAATTATTCTTAAAAATATTATATATTTTATGATTAAGAATATATAATAGGAGGTTGTACAAATGTCAGTGAAAGAGAAAGACGGGTAATACTTATACTCTGTACTGACAAGTTTGAACTAGGAATGGGACGACCCTATGGCTTAAAGTAAATTAATCGCTTGAACTCATCTCTTTTATGTATATAAGTCTGGATCCTAGGAATCAGTTATATACAATAGATGTAATCTTGGAATGTTTATTAGATTATAGTGGACTTGATTTTTACCTGAGATTTCAGTCTTTACATTATATTCATTGTCGATTAGACTGTAAAGAATTGAACTTTTTATAGACTTAGTGATACATTTTCTAACCTGGCGTTCACGTGTTCACAAGAAACTAACTATCAGTCAGTCAGTCACAACGTAGAACTTCGTATGTAAGTACATCAGTTCGAGTTGCCATACCACATTAGCACAGAGATGCAGTTGTCCATTCAAATCCCATAGTGGTAGAAGTAGTAGGAGTATAATCAGAAATCCAAAATATTAGGGTTTGAAGAAATTATTGAAGGAGTATAGTACAGTGAAATAAATTTGGAAAGAGAAAAAGATAAAGACATGAGGAATTCAGAAGATTAGAATTTGGTAGAACACAAAGAGTGGACGCACCTTCGCCATTGCAAACGATTTTGAGCCATGTCATTCAAGGTCTCTAACCATCGGTTGCTGTCTTCTTGCGAATCCCAACCAGGTAGTCTACACCTACCAACATGGCCCAGTCCACTTGTCAGTGACTTCATTGATTTGTGCCACGTTTTGGTCTGGCCACCCCTAGCTTTCTTCCAACCTACTCCTACACCATGAAACATTGCACGTCGAGGCAGTCGGTGGTCGGGCATACGTAACACATGTCCCAGCCATCTCAACTGATGAAGTTTCACTACTTCATCAATCGATTTGCCATCCCTACCTAGTACTCGTTTCCTAACAACTGCATTACTTACCCGGTGGTCCCAGGATATACGAGCAATGCTTCGAAGACATCTATGATCGAACACAAGGAGGGGTGGGGTTAGAAAAGGTCGGCCCTAAAAATGCACACCTCGCCTTATCCCACGGATATCCGTCTCCGGCGGTAAGGTTTTTTTTGAAGAACGGAGCTAACACAAAAACTACCCACAAAAAGGTCGTGTGTGACCGACCTCAAGCAGTTGTCCCTTGGGCACTGCGGTCACGCTCTCAGGTCATTAAGACCACTTTTAACCCAATTTCCTTTTCAGGTACCTCTAGAAGAATCCTTCCACTGTGTGGGCAACCGGGAAGTGATAACTGCCCTCATACCCCTAACAGCACTCAAGACCACTGTATTCATAATCAATCTTCTTCTTCAATTCCTACTATTCCCTCTACCTTGACTTTCAACACTAAACTTCCTCTCTCGGTTTCCTCCTCAAGTGTCACCATGGCCAACGATTCTAGTGCGCGAAACGCTGTCCCAGGTCTACTTAAACCTCGCTCCAAACTACACATTGGAGCCTTCAACGTACGTACCCTATGCCAAATCGGTCAACAGGCCTCCTTAGCTAAAACCCTAGAATCTCGTACCATTGATGTATGCTGTGTCTCCGAAACACGCATACAGGATCCCAGTGTGGTCATTCACTTGACCTCACCTCGCCAAAATGGACAGCCGACGAAATACACCCTCCGTGTATCTGGCGACCCGTTGGCTAGTTCTCGCGGACTTGCAGGTGTAGGCATAGCACTAAGTACAAGGGCAGAACAGGCACTACTAGAATGGATCCCCGTTAACAGTCGCCTGTGTGCTGTCCGGCTGAATGGCTCCATAAGAACTCAGAAGGATAGGGACACACGTCGTTGCCTTTTCGTCGTTTCTGCCTACGCTCCCACCGACTACAGCCATGATGAAGTAAAAGATGACTTTTACAGAAAGCTCTCTGAACTTCATAAAGCTAAAGGCTCAGACATAGTACTCGTTGCAGTGACTTTAATCCTCAAGTAGGTAACTTAAATCAAACAGAAAGACATTTAGGTAGGTATTTTGGTATTCCGGTTCAGCGAACGGATAATGGTGATCCTCTGTTGCAACTATGCTCAGACAATCGTTTATTTCTAGCAAGCACTAATTTTAAAC